GCATCCAATCTTCTATATAGGTATGACCCTCGGTGTAACCAGTGGATCAAGGTGAGCCTTGAGCTGTAGTATCTATCTATCTATCTATCTATCTATCTATCTATCTATCTATCTATCTATACATCTGTCACTTTGTCTGTGTATATATCTTTGCCCTTTTCTGTGTTAGTGACAATGTGTGTGTCCTCCAAATGCTTTAAAAAAAAAAACATAGACAGTTAAGACGTTACACGTATAGTAATGGTGATGCTATGAACCATCTCCCAGCATGTAATATATTGCCTCCCTGGGGATCCTGGGAAATCCAGAGTCATGGAAATAAAATTGTTTTGAGTTGTTTCGAAAATTGTTTCGAGTAGGAACAATTTTCTCGAAAATTGTTTCGAGAAAAGTGTAATAGGGGAAAACTGGCAAGTCTTCAAAGAAACCCAGAAATGGCATCAATGCATGGGTTCTCAAGCAACTTCAGGTTTACTGACCCCTTAAATTCTTAAATTCTTTCCACTGGAAGAAAAGTTAAAAGTGAACAAGAGCATTTCACCTTTTATTGAGCTAGTCATGGATGTCTTTATGTTTTTTTCCTTTCCTCTGACTTATATTGATAAAAAAGACTAGCTTAATGCAGCTATTGTATTCTGCTTGTTGGTAGCCAGTCTGTTTTCCAACATTGGAATTTGTCATCCAAACCAACCCTTGTATTGGTGCCTGAGTTATAAACAGGTCGTTGAAGGGCAGACAATCGAGGCTGGTCCTGGGATTGATTTTCTGCTCCAGAAACCACATAGATAGCATCTGAGATTCAGAGAAGTTTTGCAAAATCCAAACTTGAGAATTTTTCACATTGCTGGTATCTTGAGATATACAGCTTCCATATGTAGAGCTTGTCCTGTCATATAGATAGTGGTTGTGGATGGAAAAAAATATTCAGTGTTTTGTAGTATGTTTATTGGGATCATTGTTGATGTTGACTTTGACTTAAGACGATTCTACGATTGAAAGACCTCCAAGACCGTAAATCACCAACTACCATGATCCATTAATTTGGTTAATTTATTATACACATGTTTGTATGTGTGTGTAGTCTTCTTTTCCCTTATTGTATGGTTTTAAATTTGCTAGGGGTCAAATGAAATAGTTTCAAAGCCTGATTTCGGCTTGAGGCTTGCCAGTTGGCCACCTCTGACCTATGTTCCGACAAATATGCTTCCAACGTATGTGAGCTGGTTACCCAAAGATGTTGATTTGTGAGATTTAATGTCTTTTCCCCTTTTCAGCTTGCTTCCATGAGGCAGCGTCGTGTGGATTTCTATCTAGCAGCCGTTGAGACCATGCTAGTGGCTGTCGGCGGAAGGAATGAAAACGGGGCACTTTCGTCTGTCGAAATCTACAGTCCTGAAAAAGATGCATGGTCCTTCGTCGCAGGCTTGCCCAGGTGAAAAGGATGTGTATTGGGGAAAAACATCTGGCATTGCAAGATGCTGTGAAAAAGAACTTGATTTCTTCCTATTATTAGTTGTAGCATTCAACATTTTGCTTGGCAACTCTCACACTCATCCCTGGAAAATGTTTTATAGAATGCATCTCCCCAGATGATGTTGATGATAATGATGATGATGATGATATTTATTTGTATCCTGCTCTTTTCCCAGAAGTGGGACCCAGAGTGGCTCACAATATTAAAAGAACAATACAATTAAAAACAGAAAAGTGGTACATTAAAATAGAATTAAATTGTTACAGTATTAAAATAGATTGCTTATTAAAATAATAATAATAATAATAATAATAATAATAATAATAATAATAATAATAATAATAAATTATTTGTATCCCACCCCTCTGAGGACAATCGGGGTAGCTAACAGTATAAAATACACAATACAATCAACCCCAATACTCTCTCCCCCTGAAAAAAGCATTAAATCCAATAAAGATTAAAACCATACAGATTAAAACTGACCAAATAGCCAACAACATTATACAATTATACAGACCACATTATGCAGGCAGTGTTAATCAATGGCATATCAAAGAATAAAATAGAGTTTAAAATCCCCTAGGCATCACGGCCAGTGGCTGGTATGCTAGTGTAGCCAGATCTTTAGCCCTTACTCTGTCTATAAAGACTCCTTTCTCTTTCTTTCTCTCCTTTTTTCACCTTTTGTTTCTTCACTGTCCTCTTCTGAAACCTCTATATATTCTCCCTCCCAGCATAACAGGTTGCAAAGAGCAAAGCAGGTTACGATGGATGTTTTGCCAAGAGTCTTTTGAAATTAAGCCAAAGGCTGCATGCAGTCATATGCTGCTCAACCTTGCCCTATGGCATGGATGGGCAAAGTGCAATTTTTGCAGTCCATGCAGCACCAGAGCCCTTTTTATGCCCTTCTGGTAAGGCATAGTTAGCTGAAGCCCTTAAAATGATTGAGGACAACGCACTGAAAGCATACATGCAAACATAAAAGGAGGAACCATTTGAACACTGGTGCATTGCATGGAGCCCTTGCCTGCTTGCTGAAAATGATTTTGTGTTTTATGAGGGGTATTTAAGATATTTCTGGATCAGCTCCACAAGGACCCCCCAAGGCGATGAACCAGTAAAAGTAAATCAAACAGTACAAATATATATATATATATAAATAACACATTGAAACACTCTTTTAAAAACTCTTTTTTAAAAAATCCTAAAATAACTTTTTTAAAACAGTTAACACAAAGCAATTTCAAACACAGAAGGCCACGAGGAGCAGCCCTATTTTAGCTGCCCGCTGGAGGCGCTGGGGATGTTTAGCCTGGAGAAGAGAAGGTTAAGAGGTGATATGATAGCCCTCTTTAAGTATCTGAAGGGATGTCATATGGGGCAAACTTGTTTTCTGCTGCTCCAGAGACTAGGACCCAGAACAATGGATGTAAGCTCCAGGAAAAGAGATTCCACCTCAATATTAGGAGGAACTTCTTGATAGTAAGGGCTGTTCAACAGTGGAAGACACTCCCTCGAAGGGTGGTGGAGTCTCCTTCTTTGGAGGTCTTTAAACAGAGGCTGGGTAGCCGATTGTTGGTGGTGCCTTGATTGTGAGTTCCTGCATGGCAAGGGGTTGGACTCGATGGCCCTTGTGGTCTCTTCCAACTCTATAAGTCTGAGTCTATAGACCCTTCCAAGTTTCCCACCTGGACTGATGATGTCCTCGTCTTCTGCTTCGTGTCCTAGGTTTACATATGGCCACGCTGGTGCCGTCCACCATGAATTTGTCTACATCTCGGGAGGCCACGATTACCAGATTGGTCCTTATCGCAAGAATCTACTCTGCTACGATCACCGTACGGACGTCTGGGAAGAGAAGAGGCCGATGCTCACCGCTCGCGGCTGGCATAGCATGTGCACGCTGGACGACAACATCTACTCCATTGGCGGTAGCGACGACTACCTCGAAACCATGACCCGCTTTGACATTTTGGGTGTGGAGTCCTACAGTCCTCAATGTAACCAATGGACCAGGGTGGCCCCTTTGCTGCAAGCCAACAGCGAATCTGGAGTGGCCGCCTGGGAAGGCAAGATCTACATCCTTGGGGGCTACAGCTGGGAGGACACAGTCTTCTCCAGGACTGTCCAGGTGTACGACAAAGAGAAGAACAAGTGGCAAAAGGGGGCAGACCTCCCCAAAGCGATTGCCGGGGTTTCGGCTTGTGTCTGTGCCTTAAAGCCCAGATCTGAGGACCGAAAGAAAAGGGCGAAACCAAAACGGCATCAGGATCAGGGAAGGTGACACACCTGGAACTGCCTCAACCTTGGAAAAGGAATATGCATACCAAATGTCTGCTTCATCCTCATCTCTCCTTGGAGAACATTTTTGGAAACTTCAGTCAAGTTCCAATAAAGCTATTTTCCCATCGTTTTGGGTAGGGAATCCCACCTGGTCGCTTTTTCCCAACTTCTGTGATCCAGAAAGAGGTATTTGGATGTTACCCTTATCCACGTACAGCCTCCAGATGTAGAATTCAAAGGTATAGCCATGTTAGTCTGTGGGATCAGTATGTAGAGAGATCTTGTTGCTCCTTTGAGAGTCACTGAAAGAAAGAAATTGGCAGCAGGAGCTTTCCTAGACTTCGGTCTACTTCCTCAGATGGATCCAGACGTGATTTTCTTTGGTTCTTTCCATCATTGTTGTGTTGTTGGACCATGCCTTTTGGAGAAATGGTAAAACATCTGCACAAAATGTGGCTGGAGGAGGTAAGACGATTTATTTCGAAGGCAAAGGAATCGGTTGGGAGAGAAGAAAGAGGCAGGTTATGCTACGACCTGGAATGGAATTAAACTAGTTACTAGTTACCTAGAACTAGGACTCTTAATTCTTCCTCTTCTACTGCTGTCACTCTCTTCCACTATCTTGGAGTCCTTGATCCTTTTTTCACCCTAAATTCCCTGCTTTTTGACTATTGGATATTACCCACTACTTATTTTTTACCAAGATCGAAATGGCATTTTGATGGAGTATTAAATTGCAAGGTGTGGACGTTTGCCCTCCTGCTTTAGACAAATTTCTAAAATTTGAAAATTAATTTTTTGGGAAACTTTTGTACCATTTTTATGACTTTTTTTGGCTAATACCTAGCTTCCAAACTTGTCTTCTAGTGTGTTCTTTACTCTTTCATGTTCCTGTTGCCGAATTACGGCCCTGTTTAAGGGCTGTGTGTCTTCTCCGACCTGTTTGTATAGCTTTGTTGTGAAATCTTGGTCTGGAAGGATTTATGCTCCTTAAACATTGCCACGCTCCACAATTCAGGCAATTCGACAACCGCTTTTAACTGGCGTGGCTCTGTCCTGTGAAATCTTGGGATTTGTAGTTTGCAGTGGCACCAGAGCTCTCTGAGAGGGTGAAATATCTCACAAACTATAAATCCCAGAATTCCATAGCATTGAACCATGGCTGTTAACGCGGTGTCAAACTGCATTAATTCTGCATCGTAATACAGCCATCATCAGTCAGTAGGCATTTGCAGTTTAGGGGAGTGTAGCATGGTGTAGTGGTTTGAGTGCTGAACTAGAACTCTGGAGACCAGGGTTCGAATCCCGGCTCGGCCATGGAAACCCACTGGGTGACCTTGGGCAAGTCACACTCTCTCAGCCTCAGGGGAAGGTAATGGCAAACTCTCTCCGAAGAAACTTGCCATGAAAAGCCCATGAGAGGTTTTTCTTAAGGTCGCCATAAGCTGGAAACAACATGAAAGGACACAACAATTAGGAACGCATTAGAATTCATTCTCTTTGCCTATCGTCTCCATATAGAATACTGCATTTTATTTTTAACACAGCTGGAGGTGACTACTTTTATAAACTGGGTTTCCTTACATACACAAGCCTATGCTGTTTTATTTATTTTATTTTTCCTTCTTCATTCTGTTTGGGAATGTCTGTCAACAGTTCAGAAATACACTATCATATCAAGTTTAAACGATAAAAACATTTTCCAAGAAGGGGTTGTTTTGTTGGCTGGCCAGCAGCAGTTTTAAAAAAGCAAATAAACTGCCTTTCAGGAATCTGTGAGTTTAGCAAAAGTGGTTGATAATGGCAGCCGATGGCTTCTGTGTCAGAAACCTGCTCTTTATTTTGTTCTCTGAATTTTAAAGAACTTTCTCTCCTTTTTCATTCCAAAAAAAAGGGAAACTGCCACGATGACTCCAATGTCATTTACCTAACTAACCCAAAGACTTTAGAAGATGAAGGCTTACAGAAATGACTATATTTTAGTCTGGCGTAGTGATTTGAGTGTTGTCCTGCGACTCTGGAAACCAAGGTTCGATTCCCAGCTCAGCCATGAAAGCCACGGGGTGACCTTGGGCAAGTCACACTCTCTCAGCCTCAAGGAAAGGCAAGGGCAAGGGCAAACTTCCTCTGAACAAATCTTCCCAAGAAAACCCCATGATAGAAATTGCCGTAAGTTGGAAACGACTTGAAGACATACACCAACAGACAACAATGTGCTTTAATGGTGAGTTCCTGCATGGCAGGGAGTTGGACTGGATGGCCCTTGAGGTCTCTTCCAACTCTATGAGTCTAAGTTAATTCTATGATTCAGTGTGACCAGATGCCATAACCACAAAGGAAGGCAAAGGACCGTAAAACATAAGGAAGAAAGGACTTCCACATTTGCAGCTTTGATCTTTGTGTATTTGCTTATCCGCAGATCATATTAATACATTCTGTCTAGGAATATCTAGGTCCTCCAGCACAACTCTATGGTCAACTTTAACCAAAAGTCAGCCTGAAGGACCTAGAGAGAGTCCTAGACAGAACCGTCTACTAGCTCCTCCAGCGCAACTCTGTGGTCAATATCTGCCAGATATTGACCACAGAGTCGCGCTAGAGATTCCTAGAGAGGTGTATCAGCTTGTTGCACAATAATAACCGAAAAATTAACCTACCGGTTTAAACAACACTGCCATCGCTAACTGAGGATGAATGCAGGGGGGGGAAATTATAAAAACAATAAAGCCTTCAATAATACGATGTCAACAATGTAGTTGTATTTTTTAAAAAATATGTAATATAGCTGTAAATAAATGATCAGAGGGAAGAGTTTTCCACCTAATAGATGAGTATGTCTAATACACCTATAATTTGCCTGCTGCACCTACTGGAACTTTTGCTTTATATCTTCCCTGTTATTGTAATTATATAATTATAATTATTTCTATTTCTTACCCGCCTCTCCCAAGGGAACAACAACAGTTAACAGACAAAGAACATCAGTAAAAAGACATCAGTTAAAGCACACATTGATTTAAAAGGACAAAGCAGAGGCAGACATACTAAAACAATCCACATTTTAAATTCATCTAATTTAATTTAATTTAAATTTAAAATCCACAGCTCTCAATATTGCAAGCAGATTTATTGCAGGATTAAAAATTGCAAACAAATTTATTTATAAAATCATGGGAGAGAAATAATCTCTATATTTAAAATTTGATTTAAAACACACACACAGATATATATATATATATATATATATAAAAACTCCATTCACTGCCAAAGCATGCCTATTCTTTTTTGTACTGCGCATGCGCAGGAACAGGCTCCCATTACGCATGCGCCAAAAATAGTCCCTGTATGCCGTTTTTTTTTAATTCGTCCCCATTCCCAGTTTTTGAACGGCGCACGCATGCGCAGATGGCCTCGCGTGGTTGGCGAGAGAGAGGGGCACTTTTTACGCACGCGCAGTCAGCCCGAGGACGCGCGTGCGCACAGCGCCCTCTTTCCCTTTCAACACGCCTGCAGCACACAATGATCTGAGTAACTTAGAGGAAGGAGAGAGAGAGAGGGAGGGAGAACGGACATGCGCAAACGAGCTCTCCTCCCCTTGTAGCCTAAGCGACTGCGGCTGAAGCAGCCGCGCATGCGCAGTCCGAACATGGGGGCGTGTGGGGAGCGCTAGCGGAGGAAGAGAGGGGGCGGGGCCTGCTTGGCGCAGGCGCACTGGCCCGCGCCGCTGCCGCCGCCTCTCCGCCGTGTGTCTGTCTGTGCGCGAAAAAAGAGACAAGATGGCGGCGGCGGGTCCCGCAGCGTGAGGCGCTGAGGCAAAAAACGCCGACCTCTCCGCCTTCGCCTCTCCCCGAGTCGGGAAGGGAACGGCCGGGGGCGCGCCATGGCGGTCCACAGAGCTCAGGTAAAAACAGCAACCGAGGCTTCGTTTTGTATGGCCCGGCCTGGGCCTCCTTCGAGGCCGACGCCGCCTCTTTCTCCTTCCCGGGGCGGGAACACGTTGCCTGGCCTGGGCCTACCCGAGGCCTCATTGATTCCCATGA